AGGGCTGTGTCTCCCCTCCATAGCAAACAACCTGGGAGAACTCTCAGCTGCCATTCAGCTTCTTTATCCTGTTGGCCTTGAAAAGCACCATGGCTTTTCTTCCTAAAAGCTTGTCTCAGTCAGTAGGTTTATGGCCCCTCCACCCGTGTAGCCTGACTCCCTTCTGCTCCTCTTGAGGAACCCAACTTCCCAGAAGAAAGCAGACTCTTCCCCCATGGGACCACTCTTATCAGATACCAGGCTGAACCATCCCTGGTGGGGGTGGAGTTCAGCTGCACACTTTGGACGAGCCACCAATTTTCTCCCCTCTGAGGTTCATCTGAACCAGTAGGCCATGCAGTAACCAGGCGTGGTTCTCCTCTTCTGGAAGATGCCATGTGCTCATCAACTGAGATCATGTCTCCGAGGACCCTACCTTCTCAGGTTTTGAAGCATTTCAAGGGCATTTGTGTTATTTTAATGCCACATACATGGACTTGGGAACTTTCCAATCATTTTAATATTAATTACTTTGCTTAAGTCTGGCACAACCCTGTGAGAAAGCAGGGGCTGGATAAAGAAATTAAGAATAAGCTGTAAATTCAGGACTGGGCAATTAGTCAACTGCAGGGCTAGACCGAGGAAGATGCAGAAAGAGAATGAGACACAAACATGCAACATCTGTATGAGAAGGTTGGGCCTGACAGTGTGGGTCACACAGCCTCAGATGTTCCCTGGCTTAGGTCCTGGACTCTGTTTAGAGAAAGAGGCTGCTGACCAGTAGCTTGAATCTGTTGCCCTTGTCTTCCTGATTGTGGAGGCCACTACCACTTCAACTTCTCTTCAACTTTCCTCTCGGAGGGTGAGCTGAAGGAAACCCCCTTTCCCTTTAAGTTTCTTTTGCCAGGGCATCTTTTTTAAATCACAGCAACAGGGGAAGAAATGAGTAATAACTTTGGTCTGAGCTGAACTCAATTAACTCTCAATATACTGCTGCATATTGTACTGAATAGCACACTCTGGGAGCGTTAAATAATTCACACTGTGCCTGTCATCATGTGATCTACTAAGCCACTAAATCAAGAAAGGTGGCGACCACATTCTCAGTTCTCAAAGGGGACTGGGGAAGCAGGTGACCTGGCAGCCGTCCACACAGCCCGAAGGCCTTTAGAAAGCTATGGCCAGACACAGGCTCCATGAATCTATGCCAGTCATGTGAGGCAACCACAGTGCTTTAGTTTGGTTGCTATTCCAGCTGGTCTCTGAGTGTTCTGGAGTGAGAACCATGCTGGGCAGACACTCTCCCTGCTCTCAAGGAACTGCTGTTCCAGATAGCGGGTATGGGGTGGCATCTGTGTAGCCCACGGCGTCTCCCCGCTGTCTGTTCTTTACTGCAAGATCTAGAGAACTCCAGCGTTTCCTTTTCTCTTCCTTGGATTGCAGTGACTTTTACCTTTCCAGTCTCCATCTGGGCAAGAAGAGCCCAGTGCCATGCATGGAACATGTCTGGGAGAAACAGCATTACTGGAGCGAGGAACACTACAGCTTGTGGGGGTCAATGTGGCTAATACACAAGGTCCTGGGGTTCTAACCTGTCCTGTAGCGCTGACCCAACTCACCCAAACCGCTTGTTATCAATGATCCTTTTCCTAGAGTTCTTAGGAATGTACCCTACTGATGTTAAAAAATAATCACACACAGAAAGAGAGAGAAAGAGAGAGAGAGAGAGAGAGAGAGACAGAGAGAGAGAGAGAGAGACAGAGAGAGACAGAGAGAGAGAGAGAGAGAGAGCTGATTCTAATAGCAGCTTATAAAACTACTGTACTAGAAACAATTGCAGCCTTGGGTTGGCCCGGGGAGACGACCATACAAGCATGAGGATCTAAGTTCAGATTCCCAGAATCCACTGGGTGCTGCAGCACACATCCATAACCTCAATTCATGTGGGCGTTGACATGCAGAGACAGCCAGCCTAGCCAATGAGTGAGCGCCATGCCCAGTGAGAGACCCTGCCTCAAAATAAACAAGATGGAGGCCGGGGATGGTGATGTAGTCCTATAATCCCAGCACTCAGAAGATAGGAGGAGGCTGATCTCTCTGAATTTGAGATCAGCCTGGTCTATATAATGAGATGCTATTACACCATCATCATCATCATCACAAATAATAATAAAAAGGTAGCGTTTGAGGAATACACTTGACAACTTCTGGCCTACGTACACATACATACACACATACATCCACACTCCCTCCCCCATCCTCATCCCCACCCCCACAGGATTGCGCCATCAGAAGAGAGTTAGCTTCTGTGTGCTCTAATGGAGGTTTATGTATTTTCCAAAAAGAGAGGGAGTGGACAAAGTCATATCAGCACTTAATACTTGTAGGGGCACTTGGGTGTGTATCTCTGAGATACCTACAGGCAATCAAATGAGACAGTCCATCAACCACAGCCACCAGAATCCTCCCACTAGATGGCAGAAGCACACCAAACTCACACAGTTTAGCATGCCTAGCAGCTGAATGCAGTTGCCCAGTAATCCAGGAACACAGGCACATTCCTAGCATTCCGCACAGGTCTGTTTTAAGGGCGGCGAGGCACACACCGGAAAAGTCGGAGGTGATTTTACGGCAGAGGCTGGACACTGCCATACTGCCGGGGAAGCAGAGTCCCTGGGGCCTCTTGTGAACATCCATAAGTGCGATGAGCAGCCCGGGCAGGGGGACTGCCGGGACGTGCTGCCCCGGCCAGGACAGTCAGAACTCAGCACACACCGGCTTTCTTCTGGGCAACCAGTCCCTGTAACACTGAGTCCAAACAGCTCCTCACGATACAGCGCCCAGTGTGGATGTGGCGCCGTGACGACTAGCTCATACAGAAAACAGGTTTGTCTGTTTTGTTTTGTTTTTCTTTTTGGTTTTTCGAGACAGGGTTTCTCTGGAGTTTTTTTGGAGCCTGTTCTGGAACTTTTCTCTGTAGACCAGGCTGGCCTCGAACTCATGGAGATCTGCCTGACTCTACCTCCCGAGTGCTGGGATTTAAGGTGTGCACCCACCACCCCACTAGAAAGCAGTTTTAGGTTCTGCCTCTGATTGCGGTCTAATCCTGAGATGCATATGCCAGGGTTTAGTCCTGTGTCAGATGGGTTCACAGTTTCATTTTAGCTCGTGGTTTACTCAAAGCATGTGTAAGCATACACACAGGACTAGGAGCTAGCAGAGCGCTGTTGGTGTCGGGGACTGAACCGAGACCTCTGCTTGTGCTAAGCAGATGCTCTAGTGCCAAGCTACATCCCCAGCACAGAAAAACAGGAAATGTCCTCATTAAACATTTTGTTTGGGGAAGCTTTTTTGGTTTTGAGGGGTAGGGAGTAGATACGTTCTTAGTATGTGGGTGAGGATGACTTCAAACTTGCCATCCTCCTGCCTCAGCTTCTCTAGTGTTGGGGTCACAGACATGTGCTATCATACCTAACCTTTTTTTTAATATTTATTTATTTATTTATTATGTATACAATATTCTGTCTGTGTGTGTGTCTGCAGACCAGAAGAGGGCACCAGACCTAATTACAGATGGTTGTGAGCCACCATGTGGTTGCTGGGTATTGAACTCAGGACCTTTGGAAGAGCAGGTGATGCTCTTAACCTCTGAGCCATCTCTCCAGCCCCCCACACCTAACCTTTAAAATCAGCTGTGAAGTACCTAAACATCCCCAGCACCGCATGAAGAAATCCGCCTAAGCCCAGTCTCTTGAAGCTGACATTGCTCAAGGCCCGCTCTCCACTTTTAAGCAGGCATTAAGTTTTCTGCAAACCTGCCCCACTAATGGCTTCATTAAAGCTAAAGCTGCCGTTTGGGGCTAGAGACGGCTCACTTAAGAACAACAGCTAGGAGGCTCACAATCATCTGTGACTCCAGTTCCAAGGGATCTAATGCTCCCAAGGGCAGCAGGCACACAAGTGGTCCACAGATAAATGTGGAAACAAAACACCCACACCCACAAATAATTTAAAACAGCCCACTGCCCACGGGGGCGGGGGGAGGGAACCACTGCTGGAGAGAGGCTTCTGTTGAGAGAGCTGCCCAATTCCTAGATGGGATGGCACGTGGGAAGATGCGATCAGAGAGGAACCAAGGCAGGGATTCTCAGGAGCTGCCGAGCACAAGACAATTCTGGCCAAATCCCTGACGGCATGTCATGCAGCTCTTTAAAAAACAAGTTTAGTGTGATGGCACACGTCTTTAATCCCAGCACGCAGGAGGATGGAGCAGGGGGATCTCTTTGAGCTCAGAGGCCAGCCTGGCCAACATGACAAGTCCTCGGCCAGCCAGGGATATACAGCAAGACCCTTGTCTCAAAAACCACCATCAGCAACAACAAACCAACAAGAATAGAGAAAGGCTGGAGAGATGGCTCAGCAGTTAAGGGCAGTTACTGCTCTTTCAGAGGATCCAAGTGTAACTCACAAACATCTGCAACTCAGTTCCAGATACAACACTCGCTTCTGGCCTCCTTGGGCACTGCATGCATATAGTATACATGCATACATGAAAACACTAATGCATATGTATCTTTTAGAAAAATAGATATACATCGGCCTTCATTCATTTCAGAGTGAGGTATAGTTAACACAAATTTTTTACTGCATACCCCTCAGTTTATTTCATCTAGGTTTGGTTTTCATTTTTAATATAGAGAAGTGGGTTAGGCAACTGGCCTGGGAAGGCAAAAGAGGCAGTGGCTAAAAAAATGACATCAGTGAGAAAAAGCCAGTATGCCAAGAATCATGGACTCCCGGAAACTGTGGCCCAGCAAGACAAGTAACATCAGGGGAACCTGAGCCCACCTAGGGCCTGGAGTCTGCTCCATACATCCCAGGACCAGAAGGCCTAAACAGCAGGCTAGGCAACCACTTCCTCCAGAAAAGCAAGGTCCAGCCCTCCCTCCACCCCGAGTTCTTAGCAGGTTCCCGCAGGCTGCTTCTAACCAAGCATCACAAAAGAATCGAGTTGGTAGTTTTTGTCCGTCTTTATTTACAGCAAGTACATAGGATGTGGTCATTTCATAGCACTAACAAAGGTAGGGCAGTAAAACCAAGAAGGGAAGAGACAGCATCTTCTAGGAAAAGAACAGCCTAGGTATCTACCTAGCCACTCACCCTCGCTCCCGAGGCAGGCCTGGATGGGAAGTCACTGCCTGAGAGAACAGGAAGCTGCCATAACACCTTGTCACTGTGCCTGGCATCCTGAGAGCAGAGCAGGCCCAGAGCCAGAGTCCTAAATGGGGCCCTGCACACTCCAGATGCATCCAACATCTGTGCCTTTCCCAACTTGCTCTCTGCCTTGTTTTGTCCAACACAAGCATTGTCATCTGCCCAGAGTAAAAGGATAAACGGCAGAGGTCAGCCAGTCCTTCCCAGAAGCACCAGGCTGTGTGTACCCCGGACTGACCTTAGCCTCTCCACAGGCAGCCCAATGAAAAACACTTCCCTGCAAGAGGCTTGCAGTCAGCGTGGACCAGTCCCTCGTGGCTACTCAGCGGAACACCTGACCCAGCTGCTTCCCAAGACAGGCAACCCACCTTGGCTAGAGCAAGCTGGAGGCAACTTCCCCACATTCTCAGTAGCCACCATCGTGAATATTAATTAGTTCTGAGACAGGTGACTTGGACACCGCCCTCCCCCTAAGGCCTGACCCCACGCCCTTCTCCAGGGCCTGCTCTAACTCAGATTCCTGTCTTTTTTCTTTTTTCCCCCCCACACCAGCCTCGGGTTCCCCAAAGAGAAGTCACAGTTAGTTGAGTTTCTTTAGCATGATGGAGTGTGAGGCTGGGCCTTCCTGTGACCCAAGGCTTAGAAGCTTGTTTCCTAAAGACAGTATGTGAGCCAGGAGGGAGAAGCGAGCACCATTGGGTGGCTCTGAAGCCAAGGGATTTGTGCACCTGTGATTAATGTTACGTGGCACCGCTCAGCTGTCCTTCCTCTCTGAACAGCTAAAAGTCCTCAGAACCACAAATGCCATGGTTTCTTAGTAAGTTTACCTCCAACTCTCCAACGGAATTGGAAACCCAGAACCTCAAGACTCAGACCACAATGTTTCCTATACAAAGTTCAAGTTCAAATGCACAATTGGCCAAAAGCTGGGCAGCCTCAGAGCAGCAGAGCCCCCTTCCCTTCCCTGCACACAGCAAACACTGCTTCGAGCCAAGTCAGAATTGCTTAGTTTCCCAGGAAGTAGGGACAGGGTAGTCCCAAAGCTGTGTCCAAGCTAGGAACGGGCTGCTCTGAGGCCCTGGAGGTTTGGTCCCAACACCTTAGGCAGATGAGGAAGCGGCTAAGTAAAGGCTCAGAGATGAGAAGAATCCATTTTCCACGGCAGTGGGATAGACAGCCAAGGCACTAAGTGGTTTGGCACCTGGGAGCTTCAAGTAAAGTTGAGCATGCTAGCCACTGAGAGGCCAAGGCTCTTGCAGACACGAATGGGTTTCCCATGAGCACACGCCATCCCAGCAAGGCCCTTGTCCTTGGGATCCCAGGTCAGGCCCTAACCTACCTTTTATCTCAGGATTACCGCAAACGTGAAGTTGATGTGATAAAGACTGTCCCCCAGACACTCTAGGACACATCTGTCTTGCTGAGTGTGTGCCTTCCCCACAGGTACCTGAGCCAAACGCTCCCTGCTCCAGCAGCAGCTGCCATCATGGGAACTCGCTGCAGAGCCTGCGCCTTGGCCTCCCGGTGCCTCAGGAAAACGGCAAAGCTCTATGAAGGCCTAGGTTCATGTCTTTTAAATAGAAAATCAGAGTTGGAGGCAAATTTGAATCCTGATTAGGGAACTGGACGGTGCTGAAACAGCAAGGAAACCTCAGCCAGGTTGGAAAGGAACGGAGTAAGAAGCTCAGAGGGCTGAGCACCACCTACAGAGGAGGCTCCGCAGTGTCCAGGTACCAGTAACTAAGCATGTGACCTACAAACTGCAGGATGGCGACCACCAACGTGACAGTCCTTGGCTCTGAGGCCTCTATCTCACACACCTGTCCCTTCTCGCTTGGTCCCCATTTTCTCCAGTTTTCTTCTCAGCACATCAGCTTCCTCCAGGAAGGAGTTCCCACCAAGAGGAAGTGTTCAGGAAAGCTGAAAGCCCCTACCTCGGGCATCTCCAATATAAAACCCCAGCTTAGGTACCCATGATTTAAATACCCTCCCTTAATATCTTCTAAGAAATAGTTCCCTTCTCCTAGCCCCTTCCTGCTGGGCAGCCACCACATTAACATGGGACGGTGGGATTCAGGCAATCACCCTGACACTACTGCTCTCGTGGGACTCTCGGATGGGAGACACACACTGTCCTCGTCTTACTGAACAGCTCCAGCTCAGAAGGGACAAAAAGTCACTGCCAGCTCCATGGGTGGAACTCCCAGGGGCATCCTATAAGCCACTGTCAGTGGTCAACACCAGATGTCCTTAACCAAAGCCCAGACTGCACAGAGCAGCTCCATAGCCAATAATGTGTCCAGACAACCTGACGACTCACTTCCCTAGGAGGCAGTTCTTCCTTAAACATGCCAAGGGTCACAATCCCACCCTTCCCAACACCTAACTCTCTTTTCCTGCAGGAAGAGATCCTATAAAAATTCCCCCCGACCCCCCAGAGCAGAAAAGACAGCGCTGGCTTCCTAGGAGACAGACAGCAGAAGAAGGATGGAGGCGTGGAGCCACCCAGGCTGACAGGGCCAGAGTGAGGCAAGGAGAAAGGCAGCCAGATTGGTCTTCTTCAGTGGGCCTCTTCCCTGAGATTGAGTTTTTGAGTCGAGATCAAGTTTAATTTCAACTACCCCCCGCCAAAAAAAAAAAAAAAAAAAAAAAAAAGAACAAAAGTATCTCTCTTAGCTCCAGTTTCAAGGAGGGCACATCTGTCAGGGGGGCCTTGAGAGTTGAGTCCCATCCCTACTGAGGCCCAGAGTGCTGAGAGCAAGGGACATCAACCAATTGACCACCCACCCCCCCGTGGCTCCCCAGATGCCAGAGCATAGAGCCCTGCTGAGTGGGGCTCCAGGCCCAACACCCATGCACAGGTTCCTGTAGAATACTTATGGCAAACAGCTTTACAGTATTTGTACATTTACACAAAAATAGATCCTTTTCTATATATGTATGTATGTGTATTTATAACTGGTTACACGTTGGAGTCATAATTAGGCATCACCAGTAATAGTTGGCACAGTTTGTCACTTAAGCTCAGGGTCAAGTTCTGTTTGATTTGCTGTTCCAAAGTACAAAAAAGGAAAACAAGAAAATCAAGGCAATTCATCTTCGCGGTGTTTTCTTAAATACAGTAATTTCAAAGGAGGCGTATGTACAGATGACCAAAGCCTCTCGACCCTCCTGTGGCTTGGAGCTGGGGGCTGGGAATTGGAGTCAGGGCACAGGGGTCAATGTGGCCGGCTGCTGGATTCTGATGCCTGCCTCTTGCGTGAAGGGGTGTAGCCGTTGAGATAGCCGTTGGTCTGCCGCTTGGAGAGCCCTCCGTTGAGGATGTCCTGGATATGCTGCACAATGAGGTTGATGGCCACTGTGGAGCAGAGAGCAACAGTGTTAGGGAGGGGCAGGAGGGCAACACGGTCTGTATGCACAGAAGGGCACACAGGAACCAGAGGCCAAGACTTCAAGGAAAGTGGCCCTGACCCTCCAGAGCGAGTCACCTGAGCCTCCCTACCTCCCTCCAGCTGGGCTCATAGGACACCGCCTTTGTGAAGTATTCTAATAGGACTGGAAATGAGACCCAGTGAATGACATCCGGCTAATCAGAGTCCCCCTAGATAAAGTAAGCAACCCAAAAATTGTGGGGATGTGACTGAAGATGGCTTTACTACCACCAATCACCTCTAAGTTCCTTTTCCTAAGCATCTATCAACTTATGTCCCAAACAGCGCAACAACACAGAAAGTCCTGTCTTCCCACAGAAGAGTGAGCTACATTAGCATCAGAAAGAAACTCGGTACCTCAGCCCACTGACCAAGGCTAAAAGTGTGCGCCATGCGTCGTGTGTGGGGAGGGGTAATGTGTGAGAGTGTAGGGAGGTCAAAGGACGATGGCAGGTGCGTCCTTTTCTATTGCCACCTTATTCCCTTCAAACAGTCTCTCTCACTAAACCTGGAGACAGCTAGGCTGGAAGACAAGCCCCAGCATCGGATCAAGATGGAAGTCTTAGGCACTTTTTCACCGAAAGGGAGTCTTAGGCACCAGGGGTCCGAGTTTCCAATCCACATAGTATTAGGTTACAGACACAGACCAGCCATGGCCAAGGATTTGGGGAGTTTTCTTTAACAAGGGTCTCACTATGTGGATCAGGCAAGCTTCGAACTCAGAGATCCACCTGCGTTTGCCTCCTGAGTGCTAGGATTAAACGTGTGTACCACCATGCCTGGCTTTAAGATTGGACTTCCGTATTTGGGCAAATGCTTACCCACTGAGCCACCCTCTAGCCCCAAACTAAGGACCACTTTCTGATGTGACTGACGAAGACGTCACGTGACACTTCTCTAGACTGTGTAAGCTGAGGGCCACCAAACAGGCCTATACCCCTAACAGAGTCAGTGTGGTTAGAAACTAACATAGACTGCGGAGTGTATTCCAGGAGAGTAGATCCACAGTCCGTTCCCTGAACTTGGTTACGAATGCTAATGTCATGCTTCCTTAAAACAGTGTAATGTTCACTGCTGTGATGAACACTCAACTCGGGGCACACACTTTCTAAACGAAAGAAAAGTGAAATAAAAGAGAATGAAAAGATGAGGTCCAGCCCTGTGCAACCGATGAACTCAGCTACACTAGGTCAAGGCTGTGGATGGCCACCTACTTCCTAGACGTGCCAAACATGAATTCTGCAGTCACGGAGCCATGTGACTCCTTTTCGTAAGGGTGGCCCTGGTGTGATGGCAACATCACCCTACATCGGATCAGGAAGTCTACCTTCACTGAAAGGTGGTCTTGGGTACCAGAGGTCCAAGCGTCATTACTGGAGTGCCAGAGATTACCAGATTATGTCTGTCCCCCAACATCGATATACATATGGCCAAGGATCTGTTTCCACGACTAGACTTGTAGACAGAAGCACCTGTCTGACTGTCACAGACTTCAGGACCTTGCATGGTCACGCTGTGCCCAAATTATGACCGATGTGGATAGAAGTACTGACCACAGGAAGACACCGCACGGGTACTCACCAAGATTGTCTGCACCTCTGGGGATGATCACGTCGGCATACTTCTTGGTCTGTGGAGAGAGATATTTACAACGTGTCAACAGGGGCATTCGGGAAGAAACCTGAGCCCCTCTCCAATGAATGGCACAAGAGAAGGGCCAGTCAGTCCCTAGCAGCAGCTTGAGGCTTTGAACGCAATACTGCAAAAGGCACCTAAAAACAAGGAGAGGCCTAAGGAATTAATTACCTTTAGGGCTAAAATATGAATATTGGAAGAGGATGTGGAAAAGGAGTGACGGCTTTTATTTGTCAAAGAGAGAGTGGTTCCCATGAAGCAATTGATTCAAAAATCAACTCATAATCCAATGCTTAGCTGAATGCTTGCCCCAATGTCTACTTTATATCCACATTAGAAAGCCGGCTTTTCCCCCAGGTAACTACACTAATGCCTAACATCTGTTCCTACCTAGGACCTGCAGAGAACATGACCTTAAAACCTGTGGAAGGACACTTAAAAGAAATCCCACACTAGCTCAGAACTGAGAATAGATGGTTATATTTAGGGGTAAACTCACAAATCAGAATCCTCTCTCTGCTTGAATGGAAAACAGAAACCAAATCCAGCAACCAGGAAGAGCTGCTGGAAAAGAGGGCGGACACGAGCTCCACATCAGCATATATAAGAGACCACGCCCCAGTGGGCGGGAAACCACGCCCCAGTGGGCGGGACACCACTGGCTGGAAGACTTCCTACAGCAAAAACCAGCCGCGTTCAGTGCCTCCACACCGGGAACAATACTAATTAGAAAAACCCAAACATAAAGGGCTGGAGACGAGCTCAATGGTCGAACTCTTGCCTAGGATGAGAAAGATCCTGGGCTCTTCCTCCAGCACCAACAAAGCAAAGCAATAGTAACTGTACATGTCACGGGATCTGTTCACCTTGAGTCTGTAAGAAGCCTGGAGGGTGACACTATTCACACCCAGCTCTCAGTGGAAGTCAGAAAAGACAATCACAATCCCCTCCTGGTGACCAGCTTCACTTCTCATTACAATAAAAAGTAAATTTCTTAAAAAAGTGAAACCATGTTCCTTGTGTGTTGCGTTTGTTTTTATTTCTTTTACCGAGATTCCATGAGCCATACTAGAAATAAATGTCTGGACTATGCCCCTGGGTTTTTCATGCTCTTGCCTGCCTGAGAGTCCTCATTCCTCCTAATATGACCTAGAGTCATGTCAGGGTCAGACCCCAGACCTTTCTCAGGTCCCCACTATGGAAAAATTAACTGTCCTTCCCCGAGCCAAGAGCAGCTGGACAGAGGGCCTGAGCACAAACATCCCAGAAAACACTTAGCCAGAATCTGCAGCGGGCCCACAGCTGAGTTAAACCGCACAAAATGTCAGTACGTTTGGCTCCCAATGATGAAATCCCTTTGTGCTCTCTGAAAGTCAAAAGAGGGCGGGGGGGGGGGGGGGGGGGGGGACACGACTCAGGTAAACAGACTCTTGGCCCTGAGAGCCCTGTCCCAGAAACCTAACCTTCAAGAGGGCAACCGGTGGGCTGAGAGCTCAGGCTGACAGGAAGTTCACCAGTCCCTGACTGAAAACCAAGTCAAGCCTGGTGTAAGGTGAAGGCCTCCTAACAGACTGAAGCAGGCGTGGTGAGGATTATCTCTTCCAGGAAAGGAGCAAAGGCACAAACAAGTCAATTATCCTGAAGACCTTCCCAGGCATCACTCTTCCCAAGTGATTCCACTCAAAATCCAGCCTGAGTCCCAACTTCTCCTTCTCTTAATTATAAATAACCAAGGCCAACTTTGCCAGTCCTGAGCCTGCTCCAGCGGAGAGGACATGGTGAGTCAAGATTCTCCTAAATCAAATATGTCTTCCCACAATCCCAATCACAACCCGGGTCTCTGCCAGCTCCCCTCCACATGTCCCATTAGGTCTCTCCCAGGGAGATGTGCTTCTCTGGCTGACTGTGCGCTGAGGGCCATTCCCCTTTGGTTCTCAGAAAACTGGCTTACTAGACAACTCGAGATGCTCCAGGAGGCACAGCTGTGCCAGGAGGGAGGTAAGGAAGAGGATTTCACCACAATCCAGCACTTCCCAAATGAACTATCCACCCACAGCAGTGCCCGCCCTGCACCAGTGCTCTGGCCTTCCAAAGCCTCCCGCCAGCCGAGGTCTATCCCAGGCTAGCTTCGGGTAAAGTCTGATACTGTAGCCCTCCCAGGCAAGCAATGCAGGTCATGCCGGGAGATGCACAGAAATAGGGTGACCTTAAGAAGAAGAAAGGCGGCAGGACAGAACCTAGTCTGCCACCTCTTGGAACTTTTAAGATGCTCACTCAAGAGAGAGGAGTAAGAGTCAAGCCAGGGAGACCCCAGGAACCTACAGGCTTTTAAACCCATCAGAAAGGAGCTAGAAGATGGCTCAGCATCTGTCTAGATGGTGAGTTACGTGCTCTTGTTCTGTCACGAAGGACCCAGCATGCACATGGCAGCTAAGGACCATCCCTAACTCTGCCTCCAGAGGATCTCACGCCCTCTTTAGGCCTCTGAGGGCACTGCATGCATGTGGTGTATAGACATACATAGGCAAAAACACCTAGACACATAAAATAAAAACAAACCTTTTGAAAAAATATTAAATAATTAAATGTCAAGATGTACATGTAGTAGAAACAAAGAGTATAACTCACTGGCAAGCAGAATTCCTCAAAGGCAGGCTTCACGAACGTAATATACTGAGATAAAATCTGTTCAAGGTCCCTCCCTCTTTCGCTGATGTCCCTCAACACTGTAAGAGAAGGAAAAACAAAAATCAAGAAAACAGTGTACAAGGTAACACAGCCGATTCCTACAGGTCACCCCGCTGATGGAGAAGTCAGGGCTCCTCAGAGACTTGCCCTAGGACAGAGCAGCAATGGATTCAGAAAACAAACCATCGAATTCTACTACAGTGTGGTCCCTATCATAAAAGGGTGCCTGGCTGAGACTAGCAGCTTGTTTCACACAAACAAAATTTCAACATGAACCAGAAAAGATCAGGGCATCCCCGGAGAGTCGCAACAACAGCAAGCAGTGGCACCCAGCTGCAGAATGCTCACCTGGGCTCCCAATCCAGAGACTCACTGCTGTGGGGTCGGTCAGCTAACCACCCACCTCCCTCCATCTCCTGGGCAGGAAGACCAATGGTGGGGAAGCTCTTTCTGCTCACCTGGGGCACACAAGTTTGCAAATAGAAAACTCTTCAGTGAGAAAACCACACTCTGGGCAATAGTGAGCCGAAGCCAGAGGAAACCAAGATGGATAGAGATTTACCATCTACCGTCTACCATCTTTCCTCAGAACCTTTTAGTAAGGGACCTGCGGCAAACACTAGTTTTAAGGGCCAGGGCATCCTGATTCTGTCACTGTGCCCTGACCTCCCTAAGCCTCAGTTCCCCTTGGAGAAGTAAACTAGAAGGGAGTCCAGGAGGTCCTGTTAACCCACACAGCCCTCTGCACAGCTGCCACTTCCAAACTTCTTGTCAGCCTGCTAAATTTTCACCCATATCCCCAGAGACTACCACAGAAGGTAACAGACTCAAATCTCTGCAAACAAACATGGAGAGTTTTTGTGAATGAGATTCTGGAGAGCCATGCCACTAAGCAGATATATATATATATACACACACACACACACACACACACACACACACACACACGCACACATGCATGGTCTCTCCTGCACGCACTAGAGCGTGTGCAATCAGGTGCAGCCCTTGGAGTGCTTGGTGCTGGGTTTGTTTCACAATGCATGCTTTTCAGGAAACTACCAGCTTTAGCACCCTGGAGAGTTTTGCCCTTCTCCCTACGGCAAATCCCACACAGACCTCCCTGCTGCCCACGGACCAACCTGGTAACTTCATCTGTTATAAGAGAAGCTAGTGGGCCATGCAGTAAACCCCACGGGGAAGTGACACAGCCCACGACTGCTTGGCTCTCGTTAGCTAATGAGTGTGGACCTGAAGGAAAGTGACCTAGATGTGAGTTGCGTCCCCAGAAACTCCTGCTCCTGTGACCTCTTTGATTTCCTTAAATTTACCTTAAAATTATCCTCTTCATTTCCTTAAACAAAAGGTAGACAAAGAACATTCTATTTATAATTGAGGGAGGGAGGAATCTCATGCAGCCTGGGCTGGTCCAGACATGCAGCTGAAGATGACCTTAAACTAAAGCTCCTGCCTCTAACCCCCGAAAACTGGAATCACAGGTGTCTGCCATTGTGCCCAGTTTTTATGCAGTGCTGGGTATCAAACCCTCGGTTGTGTTCATGCCAGGCAAGCAATCTACAAACTGAGTGACGAAGCTATTGTTCAAGAAAACGGGGTACAGACAATCTCTAGCATGGCAGCTAGTGCACAGTATGGTCAATATGCCTAGCCTCCTGTGCCAACTGCAGTGCCAGCACAATCGGGGATGAGGGTGGGGGGTCTCCAGGAGAGCAGAGGCTCCTGACAGGAAAATCAATGTGAGGAGGGCAAGGTGCATGGGGGGAAGAGGGCAAGGAGGGGGGGGGGACCCTGCAGAACACTGGAAAGGTAAGGATACAAACACATGCAATTAGTATGTTAAAAAGGGACAGAGGGAAAGAAAGAAGGCTCACATCAAAGAAATGGGCCCCAGACACTGAAGACATCCAATAACAGAAAGCACTGTCACCCAACTCCCTAAGCCTTCAAGGAAGCTGTCACCTTAAACAGAGTAGAACGGCTCACTGCATTTGAAACGCTCTGCTCCTTGGGTACTGCCAGGAAGCAGAATCAGGCCAAGGGCTGAGTCAGAACATGATCTTGGCACAAACCGGAAACTCCAAAAGAACCAACGCTTCCAGCCCTACCCCCATCCCATCCCAGCCTGAGCCCTACACATGTGCCGGGCAGGATGGGATCATTCCCAAAGGACGCAGTAATGGGCAGGAAGTGACGAGTTTGCCAGTTCCCTGCCTGGCCACTGAGTCCTTCCAAAGCCAGCAATGCTCTTTTAGCTCTAAAGGTCATGCCCCATTCTTCCCTGTCCTGATGCTTAGGAGCAGGCAAGAGCAAAGAGCAGGGAGGGAAGCGTATCTGGGTCACCTAGAGGAAAGGAACCAAGGAGGGCCTGAGCTTTCCAGGCACTTTAGGATTCCGAGACCAATTCCTCCCTTATTAGAATATTAGAGGTTATGAAAGATGGGGGGTACGGGGTGGGAGGGGAACATGGTATTCAATTCTCTCAGAATGTTCTCCAGCCTTGTATCTACTACTGTTAGGGACTGGCCCCTGCCCTGCCGCCCCCTGCACTCCACCAAGCATACGCCAAGCATGTTTTGTAGAAACAAATGGTGCATGAGAAAACGTAGCTTGGCAGAGGGGGGCCCGTAAAAATACATCTGAGATGAAGAGACAGCAACCCGCCTGGACAACAAGGGACAGGCAGGCACTGGCCAAAGAAAACCCCAGGGAGAGCTAGGTACACATGTTTTTCTTTTCAACGCTAGGGAGGCAGGCTGATCTCTGAGTTCAAGGCCGGCCTGGTCTACGCAGCCAGCACTACACAGAGAAACCCTATTTCACATCACTTTAGGGATTTCCCATATTCATATAAAGACCCTCTCCCCACTTCAGGCCGAGAAAGGGAAGGAGAAAGTTCTAATGACCTGATTTGAGTTAGGACCCACTCTATTTCCAAAGACTTTAAAGCTACTCCAAAGTAGCCGGGCGGTGGTGGTGCATGCCTTTAATCCCAGCACTCGGGAGGCAGAGGCAGGCGGATCTCTGTGAGTTCGAGGCCAGCCTGGTCTACAAGAGCTAGTTCCAGGACAGGCTCCAAAGCTACGGAGAAACACTGTCTCGAAAAACTAAAAAAAAAAAAAAAAAAAAAAAAAGCTACTCCAAAGCTGGTTCTGACTCCCTAGAAGCTATCTTTTCTCCTTCCTTTGAGGTCTCCCTAGGATTGAGTCCCACTTGCAAGACTAGTCAGTCAGCCAGTAGGGCACAGGCTCCTGGGGTCAGACTCTCCAGAGTCCCCGCATCACTGCAGAGGAAGATACTAGCCACCTACCTCACAGAGGAAGATACTAGCCACCTACCTCTCCCAGATCCTGACCCGAGAGCATCAACTGTCAACCACTGTGCTGCAGGCACTGTCCTGCATCACCTCTAACCTATCCCTCGAGGACAGTAAAATGAGGTTAAGAGGTGAAAACACAACCTGCCCAGGGCCACACATCAATGAGCAGTGGAGCCGCAGTCTTGGCATTTTCCCTGATATAGCACACTGCCTCTTTAACTTGGCAACCATCAGGGACAATGACCCACGAAGCAAGGAAAGAGCTAGGCTTGTCGGTGAGGTGACAAGCCAGACACTGGGACAGATGCATGCAAGTTGGGAGGCGCCATAAAGAAACACAAACCTGGGGTATCCCTAGAGCCATCAATGTCACAAAGCTAGATGGGGGACCTGCCTGCCGAAACTAGTATCGTGGCTCTCCTGCCCTTTCTCCCCGCTTCACACAGTGAGACCTTTGTTGCCCCCTCCCCACAGAGGTAAGTTGGCTCCAAATGAGTATGCAATGCAAACCCAGACTAGTCTCTCTCAGCTCTACTGGTTCTATTAACAGCTCTTGCCAAATATTAGATTATATTATCAATCTATTAACTAGAATGTCCAAAAACACAGATTTACCTACTAGGATCTTTTTGAGACAGGGTCTAAACTGGCCTTGCTACAGAGCTAAGGATGACCTTGAATCTCTGACCCTCCTACTTCTACCTCCCTGGGTGTAACATGGGTATCTAAGATACCTGTTTGTGTGATGCTGGGATTGAATTTAGGGCTCCGTAGATGCTGGGCAAGCCCTCGACCCACTGAGCCGAACTATTTCCCTAGCCCAGGCTACTTCCTAATGTCTTGTTTACATCTCCTATACGTTCCATTCTCATGCTGCCCTCAGAGCAGGCCTCGGTGTCTGTACAGGGAATGAGCATTTTCTCTAGTTGCCTGCACCAAAGTTCCTCCTCAGCCCTGTGGCCTGACCCTCCTTCTCCTCCTCCTCCCAAAAGCTCCCAGTAGAAGCACATGGCTCGACATCTGGCAGGGCTCAGCTCCCCAACCAGCTCTGCGACTTCTGAGAATACATGGGCTGGACAGACACACGGGTACACACTCAGGAAAGCCTGCCGGGGAATCTGCCCCAGGGCTGGGGAGAGAGAATGAGAGCACGCAGAAGCAGATGGTGGAAGAAGGGGCCCGGCACTGAGGGCATAGGGGTCCCTGTCCCCAGATGCCCTACAGTTACTTCCAAGACCAAGGCATCTTTCCTTGATGCCTCATGAGAAAATAAAAAAAAAGACCTGAGCATTTAACTAGACAATTCCCAAGGAAACCAGACTTATTTCATCTTAGTGACCTCAAAAGCCTTTCTTTATCTAAACAGTGGAGTGACTAATCCCTTCCTAAATGTCACTAAACACTAGGTGGCAGGATGTCATGAGGTTGGGCTAACACAGCTGGCCTGGCCACAGTGGCACACAGCTGCATAAGGGACGGTCCAGGACTCAAACTCAGGAGTGCACATGCCTCTCACGGGCTCCCACCTATCTGCTCCCAAGGTGGCCCCCAATCATGCCATCTGAAGCCTACAAAACGCACCTCTGCGAGAGAGACGAGTGTCCGCATCTGTGTCTACGAAAAGCTTCATCTGGAACAGGTCTCGGACCTCCTGGGAGTAGAAGGCCAGGATCCCTTCAAAGAGCACCACATCCGCGGGGTAGACAGTGACCGTCTCCTCTTTCCTGCAAAGCACAGAGCAGTGACAGGCTGAATGGCCAGGGAGCCGGGGTAACGGCGAGGATCAGAGCATCTGCTGGGTTGGGGTTCCGGGTTCTATCCTTCTATACACCTAAACAGTAGAGAAGCGTGGCTCCTAGGCCCAGAGGCCCCAGGTCACCACCACAGACAAGAAGGTGTTAAGAAGGCTAGGGCAAGCTCTTCTCAACTTTTGCCATAAATCAGAAAGAGTTGGCAACCATCATTCTTTAAATAAAATAAACAGGTTGAAGAATACAGACATTTTGTCTCTAACATCTATGTCTAGGTTACTATCTCCTGTGTATCCCATCCACACGCTGTTCTCCAATCAGGCCACTGTGTCTGTAAAGGTATCATTCTCTCTAGCTGCCTGTACGTGTGGACAGCATAGACAGGAGACAATAAACAAGGCATTTGCCTCTACAAAAGCGGATATGATTTCTAGTTTCTCTGAAGGTGTCTCCAGGAATGCTTTCGTGCCTGGCACTTCTGCAACTTAGTATTCTGAACCTTAAGAATCAGATATTCAGTTCTTGCTATACAATTCCACCCATTCCTCTATACCTGGGGCAACTTAAGAGGAGGAGAGAAGCAAAGGAAAGAGATGAGGGGAGAAGTTTTGAAGGATGGTAAGATGAATGAGAAAGCACTGGACAGAAGTTCAAATTTCGAGTTCTCTGCCCATCTTCCAAAGGCATCCTTATAGACCGATAAATCATTTACAGAGCTGGGCAGCCCAAGGCAGATCCTAAGGTAAATACAACTTTTCAAAAGCCAGGTGGGTGACAGATTACGAAATGGTCATGGAATGGGTCTCTCACAGACAGGCCTGCTTGGGGCTTCCCTGAGCCCTGTTCTTCAAGGCAATTCTTAGACTTTGATAAGGTATCTATCTAACACCTCCTTACAGGCCCCTACTGCCTCTTTCCTTGCTAACTCTGTGGAGTTTATGGTTGCCTAGCTACCAAGTGAACTACCATTCGCAAACTACTTTACGTTCCTTAAGCAACAAAAGATCTCTGTGCAAACACCGGGAGGTCAGCAGAACAGCCCACAGAAGAGGATGCTGTCCCTCCGTAAGTATCTTCCACCTGCGTTTGTATCAAAGTCTCAAGTGGACACTACAACCTCCTCCAGGCAACCTGGATGAACCTCCTCTCCACTCTACTCCTTTAAGCCTTCCTCCCTCCTTCACACTATTCCACAGGCCCTTGTCTTCCCCCAGCTGTATTCTAAGTGTTTCCCTGAACCTGGAAGAAAAGCCATGCACTGGAGTGTCTCACTGGCCGCACACCACCACTTCTGCCTACAGCAGGAAACTCTAGTTCACCCACATCTCCTTCTTGTGTGGTTCCAGGTCGCACTGCTGACAAAGAATCAGAAGATGATGAGGAAAACCCACAATGTACAAAATACAAAAGATAGTAACAGAGGGACAGACTCTAGAGGCTGGAAGCCATATATGGCGCTTTTTTGCACTTTTCCATGAGCCTCAATGTCTATTCCAGTGGTCAGGTTTGAGGCTTGTTTTCTCTTACTGCCTGGCTGCCCCCTTCCAAGTCAGTCCCAACATGCCTAACTCCAGTTCCTACAGTGGACTCTTATTCCTTCCTGCACAACCCTGCGGGTTCCGTACAACAGATACCGTCAGCATGATTCTTGGTGTTAACTTGCTCTGAGTCCCCACACAGCAGGATCTGCCCCCCACAGGAGGCACCAATGAGGGAATAAGACAGCCTACAAAGCACGCTCTCCCTGTCCTCCTCTACCTCGACCCTCGCTGCAGCCTCAAGTTCTGGGCTATGAGAAAGGCACTAAGGGCATAAACATGTAGAACAGGATAATGGAGGGGCGATGGCTAGGTTTAAAATGACAGGAACGTCCGGTAAGGGATAAACATTATGTCTAATTTCCTGTTTTAAAAGAATTCAAAAGAAAAGGAGAATGTCAGAGAGTAATCAGAAGAATGAGAAGCCAGGGACATTTGTAACTGCCCACAGATCAGGACATTTACTGAACCACTACAAGCCTAGTACAGTGAGCCACACCTGGGAACAAGCCACCTAAAAGTGCAGCCTGTGGCCCTGGAGTCCCAAGATGTGTCCAGACACGCCTGAAGACTTGTGTCTGGACAAGTATGAACACTCCCAAATTTATTCTCACATGAGGGCCAAGAGGGAGAGCTCAGAATCTAACTATGCTCTAGGATTCCTCGGGAGGGGCTAGTCTGTCTTGATTGAGATGCTGTCTGGAGAACGGGGACTAACTTTGGGACGTGCATCTGATGGTCTCGAACCCTTCTACCTTGACACACTGTCCAAAAGCAATCACAGCACGAGAGCAGACAACGTTGCTTTGTTTCTTCCCTCTCCTCATTTTGGTCCTCCCCATGACATCTTCTTTAAGGAGCAAAGATGTACATCACAACAAACAAGCACACCGCCTGTCCTGGCTGGCACAAGCTAGAGTCAGAGAGAAGGAGCCTCCTCTGTAGTGGAAACGCCTCCATGAGACACAGATGTAAGGCATTTTCTCAATTAGTGATCAATGGGGGAGTGCCCAGCCCATGGTGGGTGGTGCCATCCCTGGGCTGATGGTCCTGAATGCTATAAGAAAGCAGGCTGAGCAGGTCATGTGAGGCAAGCCAGTAAGCAGGGCCCCTCCATGGCCTCTGCATCAGCTCCTGCCTCCAGGATCCTGCCCTGTGTGAGTTCCTGTGCTGACTCCCTTCAGTGGTGAGCAGCAATGTGGAAGTGTAAGCTGGATAAATTCTTTCCTCCCTGACCTGCTTTTTGGTCATCGTGTTATGTCGCAGCAATAGAAACCCTGAGATACCAACCACCCCTTACACCAGCCCAAAGAACAAGCCCACCCTTCAGAGGGAAAAAGGAAATGATCCAGCCATTCCTAGAAACATCCTCATTGAAGATGGGGAAGGTACCAGGCAGTGGTGGCACACACCTTTAATCCCAGCACTCAGGAGGCAGAGGCAGGAGGATCTGAGATCAAGGTCAGTCTGGACTACAGAGTGAGATCCATTGACAACCAGGACTACACAGAGAAGCCCTACTTAAAAAAAAAAAAAAAAAACTACGAAAGGGGGGTGGGGAGAGGAGGAAGGAAGCCGAGTGCACCCCTGGGATGTTCTGAGCTACAGCAGCTAACATCCTCTGGCCTAGCCCAGCCTGCTTACCGTGAGTGGGAGACGAAGTCATATACGGGTATCTGGACTGTTTTTCCTTCGGTGATTTCTTTGAGTGTTTTGAAGATGAGTTCGTTGTCAAAGGCATCTGAAGGAAATCAAACTATTAAAACAGCTCTTGGTTTTAAACTAACCTGTCGTAAAATCACAACAAACTTCACACCCAATACACGTTGCCCTTCCAAAGCCAATGTCTACCCACGGTGAAATACAAACACTCCCTGGATCCTAAAACAGAGTGTGTGGGTGAGTTCTGGCAAACTAATTTTGTTTGTTTTCCGCTGACATTCTAAACCTGGTGTCAACATATCCCCTCCTCCCAAAGGTCAGCTGGTGTCCTGGGAGTGGCATATGCTAAGCATGGGTCCCATACCAAGAAGAGCTGATTCCCAACAACACGAGAAACCTAAACAATCTGAAGGGGCAACACACTGATCGGGGCTATCAGCAAAACTCATTCAGGAGGTCACCTGAAGACACCCCACTTCCCTTCCTGCTGGTCTCCAAGCGGAGCCCATAGACTGGTGCCGGGGTGGTGGTGGTACAGGCTGCTACACATCACAAGGCAAAGGAGCAGCTGTGTTTGTTTCTGGGGATCTTTGCCCAGGCTTGCATGGTTCACCTTCATTCAACACAATTTCAATCAGCTCTCTGCAAAGTCTCCCAAAACCCATTCTTTCCTGTGAGCCCAGGACAGCCAAGCAAGATGATCATTGGGCCCCTATGTTGTCGACAGCAACAGACTTGGGAGAAGCTAAGTCCTTCCTCATGAACACAACCACTACCTGCTCCACCTTCCACACACACACCCCTCAACTCCCAACTCACCCGGGTGGTCAAAGTTGAACTGGCCCTTTAGGGCTTTGGCCTTCTGCTCTGAAGTGAGGACCCGGTAGAAGCTATCCTGGCTCAGGATGACCACCTGCTTCTGGCGGTAATCCACCTCATTCTGCCCCAGGAGCTGCACGATCTTGGCACAAACGGAAGACTGTAAGGAGAGAAGACAGCGGGAATAAGATAAGGTGTGTGGGAGTGTGCTGGGACAAAGGAAGTGTCGACCCCTAGGCTGCTATCCTTGCTATAGAGGAGCTGAGGGAAGAAGCCAGCAGCCCAAGTAATATCCGGCTAATTAAAAGGCTAAGGGAGGACCAGCCTGCTAAAAGGAGGTCTAAGGATCCCAAAGTCCTCAACATGCTACTCCCCAGGGCACTCAGTGCTAGCAGGTGTGGAGGCAATGGCCTCCCTCCTCCTGAAAGCCAGTTAAGTGACAACAGAAGTATTAATCCGCCTTCTTATCCCCTTGTGGAAAAACACACCAAACACTAGAAAGTGGAGCTAATCCTCTGCAGACAGGCCAACGGAATAAAAATTATTGCATAAGCACAGAGCACTGGGCCCCTACACACCTCCACTGGTGCAAGGAAGAGCTGCAGCAAAGGCTGGGGAGATGGCACAGCGGTTAGTGCTTGCTGCTCTTCCAGGGGACCCAGGTTTAATCCCCAGCACCCAGGTGCAGTAGCTCACAATCACCTCTAACTCCAACTCCTGGGACATCAACAACCTCTCTGGCTTTCACACGAATGCAGATGCACCCAAGTGCATATAAATAAAAAAAAAATCTTCAAATACAAAACACACCAAAAGCAGCTGGGCAAGATGGCTCTGTGAGGAAACGTGCCGGTCACCAAGCCTGATGATCTGTGGGAGACCCGCACAAAAGCCACATGGTGGAAGGAAAGAATGGACTCCCACACGGTGTCCTCTGACACCCGTGTACATGGACACACGTGCACTAAAGAAACATGTTAATAACAAAATAAGACGCTCCCAGAAGTAAGTGCCAAAGCAGTGGTGGTGCACGCCTTTAATCCCAGCACTCCCTGAATTCAAGGCCAGCTCAATCTACAGGGTGCATTCCAGGACAGCCATGGCTAGGAAGAAAAAAGGCTCTAAAAGGAATAACTCAACATTCCTTGTGGAGCTGATTAATCTGTTACATTAGACAAGAAGAAACAGCAAGTCCCGAGAGCTCCCGGGCTAGGTTTTGTTATTTTATAAATTTTGCCATCTGATTTTAACAACAAGCACACACCAAAACGTAAAGCCACAACTATTATAAAGTTGCTTGATGTATCTGATTGTGAGAACAACAGCCATTCCTGTTGCCCTAATCTGACATATCAGGCTGTTCTGCACTGCACTATGGGGCATGCTCCTCATACAGCCCAGTAGGAAGAAACCTTGAAGGAGGAACAATAGTTTGGTGCAGTTATTATTCAAAAATGGTTTTTCCTTTTTTTGTGATACTTTTACACGGATAAGGGTTTAAAACAACTTTGGACCTGAGGATGGAGATTTTCCCCGAGATGCTCCCCCACCCTCAAAAAAGAGCTATCAAACAGAGGAAGGCGGGGCTTGCAATTCTCTAATTCAAGACTAGAAACGCTAGAGACATGAGCACACCACCCAGCATCTGCAGGTTGGGATTGCCTTCTCCGAACTGGCATCTGACCCCGACACTCGAAGGTGGTGAGAATGGGCTTCACCTGTATGCTTTTCTGAACCACAGAACTCTTCCATATTTCATGAAGCTGCGTGCGTGCGTGCGTGTGTGTACGTATTAACTATTCGGTTCTAGAAAAATTTAGCCTATTAAATAGTTTTGATCCACAGTAATACCATACCACCACTGCCAACTGTACAAAGCTAGCCAGCCTGACAAGAACAATCTGCCCCCAGGCCACTCTAGTGGGGGCATTTTTCAGTTGATGTTCTCTCTTTCAAAGTGACTCTAGGTTGTGTCGAGTTGACATAAAACTAGCCAGCGCATCTTTTTAAAAAAAATGTTATGATGGAGGCTGAAGTATAAAATAGTGGTAGAATGCTTTCCTAGCATGTTAGGGTCTTAGCCCAATCCTGAGCACTGCATGTATAAATAAATAAAAGGTATGTATATGATAATAAATCCTATAACATCAATATCAAATTAAAATAATCACTAGCTGGGTATAGTAGCAATTGGAAGGCTGGCAAAAAAAAAAAAACAAGGCTATCATGAATACCCAGTAGGACCCTACTTCAAAAGAGCCAAATTAACTATTATTTTGGTGACAAACTGGGCCCCGCCCTTTTAACAAGATTATTTTGGTTATTATAACCTTACGTAACAGAAACCACTAGTCTGAAGGTCAATTGATGGTCAGTACTAAGCCCAGCCACCCAAAGCCAGGGCCCACCTCTGACACCCTGAAACAGCTCACAGGTATTAACACGGCCTGGGGGAGCTTGGGTGCAGCCTAGCTCTGCAGAGCTCCATTCTTTTTGTTTGGTTGGTTTTGTTTTTGACAGGTTTCTCTGTGTATCCCTAGCTGTCCTGGAACTCTCTTCTCTCTATAGACCAGAGTGGCCTGAAACAGATCCGCCTGCCTCTGCCTCCCTAGTGCTGGGATTAAGGGGTGCACCACACCTCGTATATCTCCACCCTTATCGCAGGGGCACCAGAACATTTATCCTCTTGCTACTTCCCACACACTGACAGTGGGACAGGAGGGGACCAGGTAAACGTACTGATGCTCTTAAGCCAGGCAGTGGTCTTAGGCCACCCTGTTCTACAAAGTGAGTTCCAGGACAGCCAGAGCTACACAAAGAAACCCTGTTGTGGGGAGGAGGATACTTGCTGCTCTTGCAGAGGACCAGGGTTCGATTCCCAGAACCCACATCATGATTCAAACAATCATCTGTGATTCTAGTTCCAGGTATGTGACACCTTCAGACAGACCTCCCTGGTCATTAGACATACACACAGGTAAATCATTCATACACATAGAGTAAAATAAATAAATCTTAAAAATGTTTTGAAATTTGTATTTTTAAAAGGTAGGACAGGGGCTGGAGAGATGGCTCAGAGGTTAAGAGCACTGACTGCTCTTCCAGAGGTCCTGAGTTCAATTCCCAGCAACCACATGGTGGCTCACAGCCATCTATAATGAGATCTGGTGCCCTCTTCTGGCATGCAAGCATACATGGAAGGAATGTTGTATACATAATAATAAATAAATCTTAAAAAAAAAAAGGTAGGACAGGCCTACAGCAACTGTGAATTACTGTCTAAATACAAGCAAAAACATGATGTGTTCAGTCTCGGGGCTCAAACACACAATCCTCTTTATCACTCCAGAACTGAAGTGGGTTTGGTAGCAGCTCCAATATTCTCCACAAATTTCTTCCAATTCCAGCAGACATTGGCAGGGACAGCGGACCCAGAACACTGAGCAGACAGTGTCCAGCCCCACCACATCCTAAGCTCACTGTTTGTGTTAAATGTCACAGAATGTCATATAACTAAAGGCAGGCAAGTGATAAATGTCTATGAAAAGTGGAAAATGCACACACAAAACTTCTAGAAATGTTATGTTCAGAAGAATCCAGTTGTTGGGAGCCAGTAACTACAGGCTGAGTGCACCAGATGTGCTCAACAACGGAGCCCTTTCTCAGGGACACTCTCACTGCCCCTTGGGAAGCCCCAAAGTGTCAGCTAGCCACCAGGACCCTCCAGCTGCTGAGCCTGCTGCACGGTTTCTGTCCTAAAGAAAGGGTTTTTCTGTAAAAGCATCCATCCTCATACAAGGGATGGTTCGCACAGCCCAGACACCATCTGGTTATTTTATTTCGGGTGGTGTGTCTTCTGGGAGCTAATCCTTAGATGCTCCTGGCCAGTTCCAATACTGCTGAGGGAGCAGTGCAGTGAGGACTGTTCTGCCTCTTTGCCATTCATTTGCCCTCCAACCCCCAGGATGTCTATTGGTTCTGGTCAAGGCCAGGGCCAGAGAGCTCCGGTGGCCCCACTCTTGCAGGGATAGAAGGCTGGTTGTGTCCCTTGAGGAATGGAGTGGTAGTTCTCACCAGCAGCCTCACAGAGACATCCTGGCTAAGGGCCACTCTGCCCAGCGTGCCGCAATACCATCAAGTTGCCTGTCATGTTCTGGGGAGGCTACTTCAGATTCACAGTGGGAGAAAGGAGCCAATAGCAGGCAGACTCCTCACTTCCTTGCCCTGAACTCAACTGACCTCATCAGCTGGTGGTAGAAAGGCCAGGCACAAACAGCCATCTGGTCCCTTTGCTCTGGTAATGTAAATAAGTCACACCAATCACTCTTCTGTCTTCACTAAGGTCTATGGTGTCCATCTCAAGAAGAAAACACCATGGCCCCCAGACATTACATCACTCTTTGGGGACCAGGGGTGTTCCCCACACAACCCAGAGGCTCTAGTTTACAGGTGTGAGAACATCAAAATGCCTATAATTTGCCCTGGCCGCAACTGAGAACAGAGTTCAAATCTACTGATTCTAAGAGGAGCAAACCAACCTTGTGGCAACAGCAGAAAGTTGTCAAATGCTTCCCTGGAGCAGCTGAATGCCATCTCATCTTGGAGCAGGTGATCCAAAATCATGGCCTGCTGAGCAGGCAAACTAACTACCAAGCATACTAACCGTGCCCTAATGCACACACATGATCTCAAAGTATAAGGGTCTCAAATACCCCGAAGAGGCCACAGATCATTCCAACAACCCAAGAAGTCCCAGAGCCCAAGGATCAGCTGTGACTTGGTTTTTAAATCCCCAGGAACTGGCAGGGCTCTGACACAACGGAAGTCCTCCTTCCCTTTAAACCTAGCATACACCGCTCCTTTTTTAAGTCAGCCTTGATTTAGATTATTCTCCTCCTAGATTTTAGCCGAACAAATGCAAAACACTTTGCAGAGGTGGCTGGCTATGTGTTCTAAATCTCAAGGCCTGAGCATTATCTGGGCACTGACATTCCCGCCCTTCCTTGCAGTCTGTCATTATGCTAAATGCTAGTCACTTAAATATGCAGGTCTTAATCGAAAAGTTCCTGGAATCTGCTTTAAATAATTAAGCACCCCTTCTTTTTGTTCCTCCTTCCTGTTGAATAGTGAAGACTTGATATCTGGAGCTTAAGCAGATAT